TATGAGGGGAAAAATATATGACTGTACCTATTTTCCTACACAAGTTGCAGCATAAAAAATCACCCCAAAACTAAGTGGCTTAAAATAATGATGAGTTATTATTTCTCATGATTCTATAGGTTGAACGGGCAGTTGTTTCAGCCTGGGTATAGCTTAGTGGGGGTGATGACTCTTTAAGATGGTCTCACTCATAGGCCCAACAGTGGTCTCAGTCTAGACGGCAGGAATGGATGGCTGGGGCTCTCTATCCACATGGTCTTTCACCCTCCAACAGCCTCTTCAGATGGTGGTTCTTAACTGCCAGAAGCAAGAGAGGGCAAACCCCAAAGTGTAAAATGCTCTTCAAGCCTTGGCCTATTTCATGCTTCTTGAGGACCCACTGGCTAAAGCCAAGTCACAATGCCTGAGCCAAAATTCAAAGGGTGAAAAGTAGATTCAACTTAAGGCCTGATGGGAGGGCTGCTTTTGCTATGGCCAGAATTTTAATCTACCACAGCTGGCCTTATAAGGATTTCTTTTCTTTCTTTTTTTTGGCCATGACATGTGGCTTGTGGGATCTTAGTTTCCTGACCAGGGACCGAACCCAAGCCACGGGTTTGGCACTTTCACTGCCTGTTTCACTCTGTATAACAGGCTCTAGGTTCATCCACCTCACTAGAACTGACTCAAATCCATTCCTTTTTATGACTGAGTAATATTCCATTGTGTATATGTACCACAACTTCTTTATTCATTCATCTGTTGATGGACATCTAGGTTGCTTGGACTGCCAGGGAATTCCCAGACTTTGTTTCTTTTTACAAATGTATGGGCTTAACACTGGTCACTTAATCTCTTTACTACTTCTGTCACTTAATAATACTTTAATAAATACATATATGTATCGTGTATCCATTAGCATGTTTTGTTATATTTATTTTTTGGCTGTGCTAGGTCTTTGTGACTTTCCGTGGACTTTCCCTAGCTGCGCTGAGTGGACGTTACACTCTTTGTTGTGGTGCGTGGCTTCTCATTGAGGAGCCTTCTCTTATTGTGGAACATGGGCTCTAAGGCACACAAGCTTCAGTAGTTGCAGCACGAAAGCTCAGCAGTTGCTGCTCATGGGCTCGGCAGGTTCAGTAGCTGTGGCACACAGGATTAGTTACTCTGTGGCATGTGGAATCCCCAGACCAGGGATTGAACCAGTGTCCTCTGCATTGGCAGGTGGATCCTTATCCACTGCACCATATTGTGGAAGTCCATGTTATATTTACTTTAATAGTTGTATCTTTTAAGTTTTATATCAGAAATTAAAGAAATTTACCAACCATTTAAAAAATTTTACAATTAGTATAGTGTTCTATGTTTTTCTATATGATTACCTTTTTCAATTCATTTTAGACTTTAGGTAAATGTGCTACTGCTTTTTTAATATTTGATTGGAGGATAAATGCTTTACAATTTCTGCCATATGACAATTGTGAATCAGCCATAAGTATACATATTTTCCCTCCCTCTTGTCACCTGAACCTCCCTCCCACCCTAATTCTTTTCTTAATGGAATGAGATTAATGTTATTTAATAATGTTCTAGTCCTTTTTTTTTTTGCCACACCACAGGGCATACAGGACCCTAGTTCCCCAACCAGGGATCGAAACACGTGACCCCTGAGTTTTTTTTTTTTTTTAATTTGTATTTTGGCTGTGCTGGGTCTTTGTTGCTGTGCAGGCTTTTCCCTAGTTGCAATGAGCAGGCTTCTCTTGCTGTGGAGCACAGGCTCTAGAGCACATCGGCTTCAGTAGCTGTAGCATGTGGGCTCAGTAGTTGTGACTCACTGGCTCCAGAGCACAGGCTTAGTTGCCCTGCAGCATATGAGAGCTTCCTGGATCAGGGACTGAACCAGTGTCTCTAGCACTGGCAAGTGGATTTTTTACCACTGAGCCATGGGGAAGTCCCTGATTGTTTCCATTTAACAGTTTTATTGAGATATAATTGGCATACCACAAAATTCACTCATTTAAAATGTATGATTCAATGATTTTTTTTTTTTTTTAGTAAATTTACAGAGCTGTGCAAACACTGCCACAATTTCATTTTAGAAACATTTTCATTACTACAGAAAGATCCCGCCTTCCCATTTCCCCAGACCTTTAACACCTCTTCCTTGAACTCTTCCCACACCACTCTATTAGTTTCTCCTCTCCTTCACTTTTTCTTGATGGTGTAGAACAGTACTTGTCTAGTTCTTTGCTTATTACTATCATTTCCTACCTTTCTATGTTAGTATCTCTGATAGTGTCCAGTCCCATGTTAGACCTCTTTCTGCTTTATTCACCTCTAACTAAAAACTTGAGAAAAAGAAGAGGCATGGATGGTAGAAAAACTGGCATGTAAGAATCCACATAGCATTCTAAAGTACAATGGTGATGCTCAGAATTCACTACAATAACCTACCTTAAGGAAGAAGGAAAAATAGCTTTTTTAAAATGAGAAAGCAGAACCTAAAGAAAGCAGAGCTAATGAGAAGGGAGAATGGTGAAGACATTTCTTAGGATCACTTAAGATGATTAGGGTAGTAACTTTTTTTTGGGGGCGGGTAGTAACTTTTAATGTAATTTCTACAAGAAGTGTAAAGATATCAACTTGGGACTCAAATAAGAAGAGAGCTTTTACAGATGAAGATCTAAGGATAGATCAGTCAGTTGCCAGGAGATGATAATAATACATGGACTAATCAGAAAAACCACATGATAACGTATCTTGGATACATTCTTAGATATATCCTACTAAAGGCTAGAGAAAGGAAACTTTGCAGCCTCTGTCCTTGGAATTCTACAGGCAAGAATACTGGAGTGGGTAGCCAGTCCTTTCTCATTCCCTTCTCCAGGGGATCTTCTCCATCCAGGGACTGAACCTGTGTCTCCCACTCTGCAGGTAGATTCTTTACCGTCTGAGCCACCAGGGAAGCCCCAAACAACTCTGTGATGTGTGAGCTGTGATTAGTCACTCAGTCGTGTCTGACTCTGCAACCCCATGGACTGCAGCCTGCCAGGCTCCTGTGTCCATGGGGATTTTCCAGGCAAGAATACTGGAGTGGGTTGCCAAGTCCTCCTCCACGGTATCTTCCCAACCCAGGGATTGAACCCAGGTCTCCCACATTGCAGGTGGATTTTATACCAACTGAGCCACCAGGGAAGCCCAAGAATTCTGGAGTGGGTAGCTCTATCCCTTCTCCAGGGGTTCTTCCTGACCCAGGAATCAAACTGGGGTCTCCTGCATTGCAGGTGGATTCTTCACCAGCTGAGCTACCGGGGAGCCCTCCAAACAGCTCTACAAAGGGAAAATGTAATGTCTGAAACTTCTCAGTGGGGACTTCTCTGATGATGAAATAAATACTTCTAGATTCTACTAAGGCAGCATAAACTATAAAACCCACTCAGAAAGCAATTTGGAAATGTGAATATAGAGTAATAAAATTGATCATACAATTGAATAATAATACATCTTTGATAAATCTATTCTAAGGAAATTGTCTGAAATTTAAGAAATTTATATAAAGATGTTCCCATAGCACATTATTTATGACAGTGAAAAGTTGTAGACATCCTCTGTGACTAACAGAGAAGAGCGGGTTAAGACAATTATATCCATACACACACAAAATGATTACATAACCAATCAAAATATAATTACCACTGTAATACGGCAACATATATATCTTCACTTACATGTTTATATGTTAACCTAAGAAAGATATAAAGCTTTATGCATATCACAACTGTAAAAAAAATATGCATATAAAAGATCAAAAAGGAATTCATAAAAATTATAATAGTTACATTGAGTTAGTGAGATTATGGGTGAATTATTACCCAATTTTCTTTGCTGTTGTCATATTATTTCCAAAGTATGAAAAAAAAGTTCATTTGTTAGTAGTGAGAATGAGTGTCCTTAACTGAGGTAAGATGCTTTAAGATGGCTTAACCACATGAAAAAGTATCTGTGAGGTACTCCAAGTCCCTTATTACAGAAGGTCCCTTTCCTGCAGTGAAGAAGAAAAGAAAAGCCTGCCGTGGGTATTCTTCTTTTCTGGGAGAATTTATTTCAAGTCCCACTATCCTAGAAGGGTGACTTCTTAGTGCACAAAGAAAAGTGGTGAGAAGATGCCAGTCCATATGGAGAGTAAAAAAGCTGGCTTGAAACTCAACATTCAAAAAACTAAGATCAAGGCATACAGTCCCACCACTTCATGGCAAACAGATGGGGAAAAAGTGGAAGCAGTGACATATTTTATTTTCTTGGACTCCAAAATCACTGCAGATAGCAACTCTAGTTATGAAATTAAAAGATGCTTGCTCCTTGCAAAGAAAGTTATAACAAACCTAGACAGTGTATTAAAAAGCAGACGTCACCTTGCCGACCAAGGTCTATATAATCAAAACTATGGTTTTTCCAGTAGTCATGTAGGGATGTGAGAGCTAGACTATAAAGAAGGCTGAACGCCAAAGAATTGATGCTTTTAAATTGCGGTGCTGAAGAAGACCCTTGAGAATCCTGTGAACTGCAAGGATTCAAACCAGTCAACCCTATAGGAAATCAGCCCTGAATACTCATTCAAAGGACTGATGCTGAAGCTGAAGCTCTTAATACTCTGGTCACCTGATGTGAAGAGCCAACTCATTGGAAAAGACCCTGATGCTGGGAAAGACTGAAAGGAAAAGGAGAAGGGAGCAGGAGAGAAAGAGATGATTAGATAGCATCACTGACTCAATGGACATGAATTTGAGTAAACAGAAGACACTGGAGGACAGAGGAGCCTGACATGCTGCAGTCCACAGGGCTGCAAAGAGTCGGACATGACTTAGCAACTGAAAAACAGAAACACCACCAGGGTGAACTGATGCATTCCAAAAGACAAACACATAAAAATGTGTCACCTACTGGTAGGTGGGAGGTAAACAGTTTTCTGTACATTTAAACACACCACATCCTGAGGGCTAAAGGTGGTCCTAAGTATGTACCTGTGCTCCATGTAGCAGCTCAGCGGCTCCACGCACACTGTGATGGCACCAATGGTGAAGGAGGACTTGACATTTGAGTCTGGATGGGTCTGCAGGGCCTGGACAACATCAATAACATCTGTATAGCTAGGGGGAAGAAAGGGAGTAGTTAGTTTACTGGATTGGAGCTTCAGAGTGGGAGAAGACAGGAATGCTTGCTGAGTGGCTGAGTGGAGTAAGGGTATCAAAAGAGGAGGGTGCAACAGGCCTCCTTGGGGTCAAGTCACCTCATGATTTAGAGCCCCTGAAGTTTACAGTGTTTCTGTACTTCCAAGTTCCATTAGTTCTAACTGCAAGAGTGAGTGGAAGAAAGAACCCTACTGCCCACCCACTTCAGAGAAGCCTGCAGGTGACCCTGGGGCTCTGAGGCAGGACTTGGTATTTTCGAATCAAGTTAAGAGCTCCTACATTGGTCTGTTTTCTTTAATAACTCTTTCATTTCAGGAAGCACACTGATCCAGCTGCTGAGTCTGTACCTGGCCACTTTGGCTGAACTGCCTGAACTGCATGATGAAGGCAAAAACCTAACTCTTCATGTTGCCTCTTTCTTGTCAGTATTTTCTTTATTCAAAAACAAAAAAACCCCAGCAGGACTTTAACTTTCTTTTTTCTGATACAACAGATATTCCATACAAGTGTCTTTTGGGCTCTATTTTACATTTGTAATTTAAGCCTGCAATTTTGCCTCATTTTACATTAATTCAATTTTTGTTTTGAGAGATACTTTGTCTTTAATGTAGATAATTTAAAGAATGATTTTTACAATATTCTAGAGTATAAACTAACACAGTCCCTCAAATTCCTTAAAATTAACTTTTTAAGACTCGGATTTTTACAGTTCTACTTATTTGTGTATGTATTCAGTTCCATACGATTTTGTCACCTGCGCAGCCTCCTCCACCACAGTAAAGATACTAAACAGTTTCACACCACAAAGCTCCCTCCATGTTGCCCTTTTATAACCATACCCACCTCCCCCCGGCCCTCTACTCCCATCCCTAGTTCCTAGAAGCCACTAATCTGTCCACCATATCTAAAATCTTACCACTTAAAAATACATTAATTCAATTTTTAAAACAACAACCTAATACTCCACTTGGTGTCAAAGCTCAACATCACTGCTCACCTGCAGCAGTAAGTAGAATGGGACCAGGTCACTGTAGCGGCAAAAGAAAACTCTGCCCGACAGCATAGAATTTTATAAATCAAAATAAAGGCCATATTCAAGAAATAAAATTCTCAACTTGAGAAGCCTCTGGGGTGTCCCCTCACCTCAATACTGGGCTTAAAGGTCCAGCCCCAAGGAGACGGACATGCTACACTGAGTCTGCCATGTGTTCCCTGCTGAGCTTCAAGGGAATGGGCCCCATCTGTACCCATCTGTAAGAACAGTATCATAGAGAGCAACACAACAGGAAATCCATCTGTTGTTCCCAGTGTCCTGGGGCTGTGACTGAGCAACAGCTGGTTCTGAGAGTACAAGTGGGCTGGCCATACACTGTCACTGAAGTCCAGAGCAGCCAGGACAGCTGGCACTTATGCAGACTTGTACAGTCAGAGACGGGGAGTCAACAATACTCTCTGAAGTAATAGAAGATGGAAATGATCTCAGCTGTACAATGTCAAGGTACCAAATCTGACTCCAGGTCCACCCCCCGCCCCCGCCGCCACCACTGATGTTCAACTCTGGAAAGGCGGCAGGAGGTGACGAAACTGGGCCAACCTATTTTTGATTATTAGAGATGATGGAAAACAAGTGGTTTCTAGCTTTCTTGCTCTGTGGCTTCCACAACCTAAGCCCACAAGCAGGGTCAATAGAAGGGAAGCCCAAAGCGGATGTAAGAACAAGATCTAAATAAGAGAAAAGATGGCCTGGCAGGGGACACATTTCCGTTTGCCTCCTGCAGCACCACTGGCCTGGCTTTCCTCCAATTCTTACCATCACATCTAAGAGACCAAACAGGGCTTTGGCACTGGGCCTATTCTTTACTGGAAACAATTAGTCAGTTGCAAATACTAATTATTATGAGCACAAAACAAAGCACCACAGCACAGCACAAAAGCACTTTGTGAGAACTGCCAAAAGCTTCTTTATTACCAACCATAATGACAGCAGTGAAAAGCACAGCCCATGTTTTCCTGATCTGGCATGTTCTCCTGTGGGCCCAGGGGATGATGCGCCTGCTTCCTCCTTCCTAGCCATTTTGTGGATGGGGCTTGAGACTAGAGTGTGGGGACTGTCTGCAATTTCACAGGAGGGAGGACTGAAAAAGCTGAAGCTTCCTTGCTTCAGTGGCAAAGGAAGAGGCTTAGGGACCACTACTGTTAGAAGAATTATCAAAGAATCTTGCCCAGAAAACCTCCTCTCCAATTCTCTGCCTTTTGAAGATATGTAATGTTGAGGCCGAACTTGAAACTTGGGTGTGATCTTCACCAGTCACTCTGGGCCACAGGATGGCCACAGGGGTTTCTGCTTGCTAAAGATACTTCTCATGCATATGTGGAGTTTATTCTGTGCCCCAAGTCAACCACACATGAAATAATGGCAAGGTCACCATACTACCCCACTATTCCCAAAAGACTTCCAGGGCTCACCCTTGTAATACCACCAGTAGTCTGGTCGTCTTGCGGATATAGGCTGACTGGCGGACAGAGCGGTTCTGTTGGGCCTCCAGGGCACTGGAAAGGTATCTCTGGAAGTGGGCAGCATGAAAACATTCGGAGCTGTCCATGACTTGACGGTATACCATCCACCTGGAAATGGCAAGTATAATGTCAGCATGAGGGCCTGGCCCATAGGTTCTGCCAGTGGATTCAAATGTGACTAGTACTCCATAGGCTTGGTCTTGTGAACCCATACAGGAGAAAACAATGCTATCAGAAACAGGTAGAGGGCACTGGCTGGGTGTGGAGCCCTGTACCCTGAAATCACTTCTATTGGAGCTTTTGGCACAAAATGCTCTGTCACAGGGAGAAAGGTCAGATAAGCACATAACCAACAGATTTCAGAGTTGAGAAAGACTCCTGAACAGGCAGTCAGTTTCTGAAGGGCCGTTCAGAAACGTGGTTTCAGTCCACTTTGCAGTAAAATTCTTGCTAAGAATAAGGAATGAAGGGGTGGGGGAAGAGTTTCCTGGTGGCCTAGTGGTTAGGATTTGGTACTGCCACTGTAGTGGCCCAGGTTCAGTCCCAGTTTGGGGAACTGAGACCCCACAAGCTGCATGGCACAGTCAAAAAATAAAAAGAATAATGGGTAAGGTAAAGCATTCAGATTGTTTACAGAACATAAGCAATGGAAATAAGGAAGGAACCGGGTAGCTACTGAATACTTATGAAGGAGGTCTAATATTTCCCCATTATCTCTCCAATACTCATCTTCCCAACCCCCACAATCTCCCACTCTAAAGTCCCAAACTCCGAGGTGATTTCCGTCTTCTCAATTCTTCCATATGGTCTCCTGCAGGCTGCCTTACTTTGAGGAAGACTGACTAGATATTAAATGCCTGGTTCAGTCAGCAAGGTTTGTTTAGCAATCTGCCAGCCAAACGGAAGAGATGGGTGAATGATTTCTCCAATTTCACCTAAACCAGTATGTCCCAGTTCCACCTACACTCATTCAGTCCCTTTGTGGCCATGGAAGGATCACATCCACCAGCTCTCAAGTTCTAACCAACCTGGTCACAATTCCCAGGCCTTTGCCCATGTTGGTCTTGCTGGTACAGGTCTCTTGCCCAGATATCCAGGGGTTCATCCCTTTATATTGTCAGGCCTTCGCCTTTGCTCAAATATCACCTTTTCAGTAAGGTGTTCCCTGAATGAGTGAATAAAGTGAAGTCACTCAGTCATGTCTGACTCTTTGCGATCCCATGGACTGTAGCCTGCCAGGCTCCTCCATCCATGGGATTTTTCCAGGCAAGAATACTGGACTGGATTGCCATTTCCTTCTCCAGGGGATCTTCCCAACTCAGGGATCAAACCCAGGTCTCTCACACTGCAGGCAGACTCTTTACTGTCTGAGCCACTTCCCTGAGTACCCAATTAATACTGCAAGCAGTCCCTCAGCTCAGTTCTCCTATGGCCTTCTCAGCCTTATTTTCTCCACAGCATTTTTCACTAGCTAATGTACTATTTTCCTTAACTGGTTAATTGTCTGTCTTCCAAAACTAGAATACAAGCTCCATGAAGGCAGAGATACCACCTGTTTTCTAGTCTGTTTTGTACATTTGTCCCCTACACTTAGAACAGTGTCTGGCATATTGAAAGTACTCAGTATAAATGTGTTAAACAAATGGATGGGTGATCACTGTGCCAATACCAGTTATACCAAAGGTCAGTGCATGCTGAAGGTTTCCCAGTGCATAGGCAGACCCAGGCATAGAATCCCTTTCCCCAAAGCAAAGGCAGCAGCCATACTAACCTGCCGTATTCTTTATGCAGAGTGACCAGAAAAGCACAGAGTTCACTAGCGTGACAGCCTGGGAGACCAGTTACAATGCTGATAATTACCTACATGAAAGAAAAGTCATGTGGGTTTGTGATTCAACTGGGAGGCAGCATTGTGTAACAGGTTAAGAGAACTGACTTCCTGAGCCAGGTTCTGTGGGTTTAAACCTCAGCACCAGCACTCATTAGCTATATGACTTTGGGTTCACTACAGAACCTAACTTGCAGGGTGGCTGTGATGATTAACTGAGTTAATGTATGTAAACAAAGTGCTTAGAACAGTGTCTGGCACACAGCAAACACCATATACAATGTAGTGTTACCATGATAATTTCCACAGAGCAGGTTGTGACTAGATCAGTTAAAAGTATAACGGAAAATACTGGGCGGAAAGGAGGTCTGGGACAAAAATGCCACAGGCTAAATTGGTGTGGTAAACTCAGTGAAAGAGGTGAGTGGCCTGTGCCATCCAAGCCACATGGCCTGACCTAAAGAAACAAACTGGGTGGAGAAAGCACTTCTCAATCTGATGGGGAAAAGAGGAGCCAGGTTGAACTTTCTTAACGTTGGCACATGACTACACGAAAACAGGGCCATTTGTAGGGAGACATTCCAACTCAAGAAATCTACTGACAAAGAATGCATCAAGCAGAGGAGGCAGGGAACCATGTACTTGCTGAAGGATAACAATGTCAGTGACACAGCGTGGCAAGGGCTCCCTTACATGTGTTTTATTTCACAATACACAAGACTCACCGGGACAGGCCTGGATTAAAATTCATCTTGGTGGCACTCACCACTTGAACTAGTCACATCAGCACTATGGATTCCTCTTCTTTTGTGGGAAATAGTTCTCCCCCCTCTCCCCCTCTGACCAGACCCTTAGTCTGATTCCCTTTCTGCACCTGTGGACAGTTCTCCATGTAATTGACTTTCTGTTTATCTTTTCATCCAGATTTTCTCATCTTGGTTCCCGTTTCTCAGCATCCAGGCCTCAGCCTCTCAAATCCTAGCAAGCATGCTCACAGCCAGATACCTTCTCACTTTAAGGCCAGTTCTATAGCACTTTGTTAATATAAAATACATATATTAAAAGTAACATTTTTATTTTTACTCCTGCTTCAGGGAAAAAATGAGGCTTCTAACTACTTAATGCTTCTCTTTCCTTTTGCAGCCAAGTGTCTTCTAGATTTGCACAGAAATAAATGCCCACTTTGAGCATATTATGACATATAGTTCCAAAGAAATGGTGGGGGGTCAAGAGGAGAGAAGTGTGGAGCAGGAGCAGGTTAAACTCCACTCTTGTGCAGACAGTGTTCATAAACTGTCAGGCTATCCTGGTGATGCTAGCAAGGTCTTACTATCAAGGCCTCTCCCCTCACCAAGCTCAGTGTGCCAGGAAGACCGTGTAACCAGAAAGAGCTGACAGCATGAGAGTCCTGAGGAGGAGTTTGGAAGACCTGGAGAAGCAAGAGGAGGCCATGGAAATATGGCAGGGTTTCATCACTGCCATGGGGCTCAGCTGGCGTTAACGTAGATGCCAGTACACTGTCAGTGTACAGAGTGGGTTTCATGTGTATCATTACATCAGTATTCAAGGAGGTGGAGAGTCTTATAAAAGGGACTCTGCTCCTTTTTTTAAATGACACTGAATATTAAGGGTAGATTATCAGGATTATCTTCTCATAAATTCTCAGCTTTTTCGGTGAGCTGCTGTACCTTGTCATTTTCTACTCTGTGAATAGGGTTGATTTCAGCTTGCTGCAGTAGGACAGGGAGATGGGTCCTCACCACGGGTTCCTGACTAATGCTGCTGACAGCAAAATGCTGGAGAAACCTAGAAAAACAAAGACAGTGCTATTATGTTACCATCACCAGCCTTTTCTGAATGTGCCCATTCACATGAGAAACTTATTTAGCTGAACAGAAACCTTAGTGAATATCTCTAGTGTAAAATTGTGTATGTTGTGTTTTTATAATTATCCTTAAGAAGCTATAAAGAAAGAAAATGGAGCTTAGAAAGCACCAACACTGAGAGTTCTGATATATTAAAAGAAAGAGAAACAGAGCTCACCCGTTCAGCTCTGGGAGCTTAGCTGAGAGTAGCTTTAAGGGACTCTGTTTCTCTCCAGCAGAATGGCTCAGGACACTGAAGAGCTTCTGGGCCCTGGAGTGTCTGGAATATCAAAGGTTCACAGATTAGAATTCCATCTCCCTACAGCACACATACTTTACTTAACTTGTTCTGATATTTTTAAGCCAAACTCCTGTGACAGAGTCAACACTTTGAAAAGAAGCAATCTCACTGACTTAAGCAAAATTCAGTGTTAATGAAGGATGACTGGTTTGCCCACATAGAAAGCTTAGCCTGAAACCTTTCTAACACTACAGTTTTCTGATTCTTGGTGGATTTCATCTGTCTCAACTTCTGTTTCCTAAGAGCACTGACTACCTGCAAACTGGCAACACTGAAATGACTGTGTTGGCCGTTTCAGAAGCCAGGACTCCTGTGTTACATAATGCAAGTCATCCTGCAGAGACAACAGACACACAGCCTAGGGAAGCTAGCATAAACACTGAAGGCAGCCACTTACAATCTCTTTTGTTCCACAGATAATCCATCTTCCTGGATCACTTTTAAAGACAGCCCTGAGTTAGTCTGCTGTTGCCAGGGGGAGAAGACCTAAACAAAACAGAATTAGAGCAAAGAACACTTTAAACCCAACAACAGGATATGGAACCCACATGGGGATTTGATGGCTGTTGAAAATCTAGACTGTCAGTACAGAGAAAAACCATCATAACAAACAAGTTTGTTTCAAAAATAGAGGCCTGAAGCAATTCTGTTCTGTATTTTTACAAACTAGAATTTCTTTCTGAGTTCCTCTCCCAGGGATTCTGCTCCTTAAGAGAACAGGAAACACAGAGGAGGGTATCACGTAATACTGTTCTGGCAGCAGGGGCACGTTCTTCCCTGGTGACAAGGCCAGACAGGAGCAGTTCAAGCAACTCCTGCCTAGAGGCAGAGGAATGGCTGAAGAGAATCTCCAGGTTCCTAGACTGAAAAGACAAGCACAAGGAGGTAAAAGGATCAGCTGGTAGTAAGACGGAGGCACAGATTGGCCCTAAAAGCCACTCTGGAGCCAAGGCTGGTTCTTGCCTCTTCCATGTTCTGTTTATCTGTACTGAGGGAGGGACTATCCTCTCAAACACTGCTGAATAACACCTTTCCAAGCATTTCCACCAGAATGAGACTGACCATTTGTATGACTCTGGTTACTGCTTGGTCTCTAAGTAAGCTGTGTAGTTCTTGGTGAGCTCCCTCACTCATGCAATCTGTGCTGACAACCTAGGATGTGCAGCCTGCCAGGTGGAACCACTCACAAGGGCAGGGCCTATGAACCATGAAGAAAGACATTTTGGGGTGGGGTAGGAAGCTCTGGAGGAGGGCATGGCAACCCATTCCAGTATTCTTGCCTGGAGAATCCCCATAGACAGAGGAGCCTGATGGGCTACAGCCTATGGGGTCGCGAAGAGTCAGACACGACTGAGCGACTCAGCACAGCACAGCACAGAAAGCTCTAATCCAATCGGGAGGGCCCAACAACTCAATAAAGTAGCTAACAGGGAAATGAGTCTAATTAGCAAAAAAGAAGATTTTTCTTAGAAACTAAAAAACCTTCTGTTCAGTTCCTTTCGGTTCTCATCTTTTAATGGCAAGAGCACTATTCTAGGACACAAAGAGATTAGGAGCAGCCACACTCACATCAGCCCTTCCCAACTCTCCCTCTCATCACCTCACTGTTAGCCGTAAGACACTGCTATATCAATTAAATTGCTAGGAAAAAGGGCAGTAACTGTTTTGCTGAATAATGATTGACGTTACCTCTGAGTAAAATGTTTGGTATATCTTGGATTTGGGGAAAAGGGCAATCATCAGAGAATTGCTTGATCCATGGAAATGAACTGGAAGATGGGGAAGCAATGAACTTTTGAAGTCTATTAGAAGGGCAGCAACAATACTGGTGGAATCCTGAAGAGAAAGAGAGGGAACATCACTGAGAAAAGCCATTGTGCATGAATTTAGCCCTTACATCTAATGTCAGAACACATACGGTGAATGTCAGTCCAATTATTTTCACATTGTGTGGTTTACTGGGATTCAATTACAGAAGTTCCTGCCAACACCCAGTTTTAGGAGATACGGTAAGTACATGGTCTTTTCTCCTGAACTGAAAATATTATCTCTCTTTCTAGGGTATTAGTCCCATATCAGACAAATGATTTGCAAATATTTTCTCCCATTTTCTGAGTTGCTTTTCACATGCTTGATAGTGTCTTTTGATGCGGAGATGTTTTAAATTGGACTTAATAAAATCCAATTTATATATTTTTTCTTTTGTCGTCTATGCTTTCGGTGTCAAATTCAAGAAACTTGCTTAATCCTGCCTGGAAAATTCCATGGACAGAGGAGTCTGGCAGGCTATATAGTCCATAGGGTTGCAGAGAGTCAGACACAATTGAAGAAACTTAGCACGCAGGCATGCATTCAGTTTTCCCAGCACTGTTTGTTGAAAAGACTGTCTTTTTTAATGGAATGATCTTGGCACCTTTGTTGAAAACCTTGGACCATATATGGAAGACTTTCTTTGGGGGCTCTCTATTCTGTTCTACTGGTCTATACATCTGATCTTATGCCAATACCACGGGCTCTATGGCACTTAGGTTTCAGCAGTTGCAGCGAGAGGGCTCAGGAATTGCGATTCCTGGGCTCTAGAGCAAGGCTCGGAAGTTGTGGTACACCAGCTTAGTTGCTCCAAGGCATGTGGGGTCTTCCTGGACCAGGGATTGAACCCATGTCTCCCTCACTGGCAAGCAGATTCTTTACCACTGAACCACCAGGGAAGTCCTCAACTTTCTTCTTTTAAAGATTGCTTTGACTATTTGGGAAGGGGATGGGGGTGGGGTTTTCCCTGAGATTCCATAAGAATTTCAGGATGGGATTTTTCATTTCCTCAAAAAATGCCATTGATATTTCAATAGGAATCTATAGGTTGCTTTGGGTAGTACTGTTATTTTAATAATATTAGGTCTTCCAATCCATGAACATGGGATGTCTTACCATTTACGTAGGTCTTCTTTAATTTCTTTCAGCAATGCTTTGTGGGTTTTGGTGTTTAAATCTTTCAATTCCTCAGTTAAATTTATTGAATTGTTTTCTTAAGAACCTTTTCAGATTATTCACAGTGGAGTATGGAAATGCAACATTTTTTTTGACTGTTTATTTTCTATTCTGAAATGTTGGTAAATTTATTAATTCTAATAGTTTGTATATGTAGTCTTAAGAAATTTCTACATGTAAAGCATGTCATCCATGAAGAGAGTTAATTTTACTTCTTTTTCTGCCAATTAAATGCCTCATCTCTTTTTCTAGCCTAACTTGTTCTCACTAGGACTTCCAATACTATGTTGAATAGACATGGCAAAAACAAGTATTTTTGTCTTGTTTCTGATATTAGAGGAAAGAGTTTAATATTTAAGTTTTCATAATGAAAGTCACATTCATTAAATAAAAATTTGAGAAAAATATAAAAACAGAATACAGAAAAAAGGTTTAAAATATTAATCCAAAGTCCCATCACTCAACGTCAACTACAGCTAACATTTTGTACTTTTCCTTCTAGTCTTCTGTTCCTGTTCATTCACTGATTCCCTTTTTCATGACTGGGAAGTCATACTTACTTTTACAGCTCCATATCTTGCTTTTAAAACTTAATTTACCATTAGAATCTACCATGTTGTTGTAAACTATCTGTCAGCATTTTCAAAGATTGCATCCCACTCCCCACTTTGTGCACCACTATGACTGGACATTCCATATTATCAATTCCACTTCACCTTTTGTCTACTGTTACCTTTTATCTACTCTTTACTAATTTACTGTTATACATGGTAGTGTAAAGCTGTATCTGATGTGCTTCCCCATACCTGTTAACTAACCTCAGGTCCTCTGAACACTCATGATTTGGCACTCAGTGCTTTCATGTTGATAAAGACAGAGACTGTCACAGAAATGAAATATTAACTCTTTTTTTTTTTTAATCACTAGAAATGGTTTTCCTGGTTTATGCTTTTGCTTTGAATATTTTGTAGAGATTTAAATTATTAGTCTGATAAACTTTATGCTCTTATCTATACAATGGAATACTACTTATCAATAAAGCAATAAAAAGGAAAAACTATTGATACATACAACACTGATGAACCTTAAAAACCATGCTGAGTGAAAAATGCCAGACTCAAAAGGGTTCAGAATGTATGATGTCCACTTATATAACATTTTAGAAAATGCAAACTAATCTACAGTGTCAGAAAGCTAGTCAGTGGTTGCCTAAAGCCAGAAGTTGGGGAGAAATATGATCTACAAAAAGGTATTAGAAAACTTCTGGGAGTGTCGGGCATGACAAAAATCTGTATCTTGACTGTGCTGGTGGTTTCATGAGTATATACATCTGTCAAAACTTTAAATGGATACAGTTAATTGTATGTATGTATATTTTATTTAACATATCTAAAATATTATTTTAAATGTAATCAATATAAGAGTATTAGATGTTTTACATGCTTTTTTAAGATATAGTTGATGTACAATACTATATAAATTCAGGCGTACAACATAGGGATTCACAATTTTTAAAGGTTATAATTCATTTATAGTTATTATAAAATATTGGCTACATTCCCTGTGTTGTACACTAAGTCCTTGTAGCTAGTTAATTGCATTTAAAGTATACTTCAATAAACCACCAGCAAAAATTGAAAAAATCCTTAAGTGGTAAAATCTGACAAACTTTTTCTTTAGAATTTCTTAAGTGATTTCTTAGCTTAAGATTAGAAAGTCTTCCTGTCCCTAAAGATTTAATAAATATTCCTTTTTATATTCTTCTTAACTGGACTTATTATGGTGACCATTTAATAATACAGATATCTAAGAGAGTAGATCTTAAAAGTTACCAGAATCTGAAAAAGAATGGATATATGCAGGATATAATTGAATCACTTTGCTATACACCTGAAACTACTGTAAATCAACTATACACCAATATAAAATAAATACTAAATTTTAAAAAGCTCTCACCATAATAATTTATAGCTATATTTTACTTTTGAAATTTTAAAATATTTTACATTTCTCAGAAGTTCATTTTGACTTTTGATGTGAATTAAAATCCAGCCCCCAACCCAAAATGAAGTAATTTATTATCCCAGCACTTAAGATTCATCCTTTCTTTCCTGATGCTGGAAGACTCTTTAACCTAATATTAAAGCTTTCACCTAACAGGACCACCTAATCTGTCTGGATGGTCTGCCTACATTTTTGAACAGCCTTTAAGGAAGCAGGTTCTACATGGAAGAAATAACTCTTTCTAACTTGCTAACAGAATTTATTTTCAAAGCTATTTGACCAAACCACTTCACCTGATCTCTTTCCCGGCTCCCAAACAAGCTGGTTTTGAGGCTGAGACTATGCAGGGTGGAGAGCCTGCCCTCTGCTCTGGTGTCGTACTATGTTGAGCTTTGCCCTGGCCAGACAGTACAGGCTAGGGGAAAAACTCATAGCTACCCACATGCCCACAAGGGAAGGGGGAAGTGTTGTTGCAGACTAGAATTAAAGGATGGTTCTGGGAGTGGAACTTCCATAGAGCTGGATGTTAATTCTGAGTATGAGAGGGGGTAGAACTAAGCCTTCAAGGAGAAAATTAGTTATTTCTCTTTCTTTCAGGCTTTCTTATAATTCTTTCTCATGTTAACGACTTAGTGAAACCCCAACAATGTCACAGGAAGTTGTTTCTTTCCAGTTCTTAAGTGGGTGAGTCTTTTGTGTCTCTGGGTTGGAGGCCATCTGTGAAGGGTTACTGGAGGCCACCTTCAGCTGGTCTTCTTTGGGATAAGCTAATTGGGCATGGGTAGCTGCTGGCCCTCTTGACCAAGAAGTCCTTTCTACTTAACTCCTTTACAAAGCAGCAGGATTGATGAGGTTGACAAGAGCTTCTCTCTCCATGACTTCCCTGCCTGCTTGCCTGCCTCAAGGGCAGTGCTGGTTCCTAACCCACTGACCTGCAGTGATAGAGGAGAGACAGGGAGTTATTTGATTTTCCCCTCAGAAGCGTGAGTATCTTTCTGAACATCAAAACTTGGATTGTGAAACACCTACCCCATCATAGAACAAAATGGAATTCATGTGGTCCTTGGAAATGATGATATTTCCGTGATGACGATCAGAAAACAGAAGGCCATTAGAGAAGAAATGTACTTTTCCTGGAAGGAAAAGAGAGCTGGTCAGAGCTCCGAGGGCTGGATTCCAGTGGCCAGTATCACAGTGTTCTTCCTGCAGGTCCTAGGGCAAGCCAGAGTGGTAACTAGAGATCTTCTGCAGTGCTTAAGTTAAACAACCTTGAGCTTCTGGTTAAAGATGGTGGAGTAGGACGTGTGCTCATCTCCTTCTGCCGAGAGCACCAAAATTGCAACTAGCTGTTAAATAGCCATTAACAGGAGGACGCTGGAACCCACCAAAAAAAGATACCCTACATCCGAAGACAAAGAAGCCCAGCAAGATGGTATGAGGGGTGCAATCATGATAAAATCAAATCCCATACCTGTCAGGTTGGTGACTCACAGGCTGGGGAACAATAATTCCAAAGAAGTTCTTGCACTATTGTGAAGGTTCTGAACCTCAGGTCAGACTTCCCAGCCTAGGGATCTGAAAAAGGGACCAGGAACCCCCAGGGAATCTAGCCTTGAGGGCCAGAAGGATTTGATTACAGGCCTTCCATAGGACTGGGGGAAACAGAGACCCCAGTTGTGGAGGGCACAAAATTTTGCATGTATACCAAGACCCAAAGGAGAGGAGCAGTGACCCCATAGGAAACTGAAGCAAAACTACCTGCTAGTGTTGGAGGGCCTCTTGTCCTCCATGGGTCAACATGGGCATGGGTCAACAGGGGCTCGCCACAGGGACAGGGGCACTGGAAGGTCCCCCTTGGTGTAAACCCCCTTGGGGTTTACCATTAACCATACCATAGAGGCTGTAGACCCCAGGGCTGTGTTGCCTCAGCCCAAACAACTACCAGGGAGGAAGTGCAACCCCACCCATCAGCAGATAATTGGATTAAAGCTTTACTGGGCAAGGCCCTGCCCACCAGAACAAGACAGTTTTTCTCATCACCAGTCCCTACCATCAAGAAGCTTACACAAGACTCTTAACCTTATCCATCAGAGGGCAGACAGAAGAAGCAAGAAGAAGCATAGTCTCACAGCAGCTAAAACAAAAACATATTACAGAAAGTTAATCACGATGCAAAAGCAGAAAGTTATGTTCCAGATGAAGGGACAAGATAAAATCCCAGAAAAACAAATAATGAGTGGAGATAGGCAACCTTCCAGAAAAAGAATTCAGAAAAATGATAGTGAAAATGATCCAGGGTCTTGGGAAAAGAATGGAGACAAAGATTGAGAAGACGCAAGAAATGTTTACCAAAGACCTTGAAGAACTAAAGAATAAACAGAGATGAATAATATGCTAGAAGGAATCAATAGGAGAATAACTGAGGCAGAAGAATGGATAAATGACCTGGAGGACAGAATGGTGGAAATCATTGCTACAGAACAGAATACAGAAAAAAGAATGAAAAGAAATGAAGACAGCCTAAGAGACCTCTGGGACAACATTAAACCACACCAACATTTGCATTTTAGTGGTCCTAGAAGGAGAAGAGAGAGAGAAAGAACCTGAGAAAGTATCTGCAGAGATAATAGCTGAAAACTTCCCAAACATGGGAAACAGTCAACCAAGTCCAGGAAGCATAGAGTCCCAGGAAGGATAAACCCAAGGAGGAACACACTGATATACACAATAATCAAAATGACAGAAACTAAAGACAGAGATAATATATTAAAAGCAATAAGGGAAGGATAGGAAATAACATACAAGGTAACTCCCATCAGGCTATTAGCTGATTTCTCAACAGAAACTCTACAAGCCAGAAGGGAATGGCATGACATATTTTAAAGTGATGAAAGCGAAGAACATACAACCAAGAATACTCTACCCAGCAAGACTCTCCTTCAGATTTGATGAAGAGAAATAAAAAACTTTCCAGACAAGCAAAAATTAAGAGAATTCAGCACCACCAAACCAGCTTTACAACAAATGCTACAGGAACTTCTCTAGGCAGGAAACATAAGAGAAGGAAAAGACCTACAAAAAATAAATCCAAAACAATTAAGAAAATGGTAATAGGATCATACATATCTATAATTACCTTAAATGTAAGTGGATTAAATGCACCAACCAAAAGACATAGACTGGCTGGCTGGATGAAAAAATGTACATGTATGCACTTACACTTACCACATCACTCTGTTTGACCCCCCAAATACTATGTAATTATTTTATATTGTTAAGTTAATCATGTTCCCATTATGGCTTGCAATTATAATTATCTTTTATTTTTTGTCTGGCTATTGATTGTGAAAACTGATAAATGTTTTTTACTGTTGTGATTATTTAACTATTACTCAATACCATTATATCACGATCGATCAGCAGAAAAATAACAGAATTCTGTATCACCAAAACTAGGATCTAACAGAAAAACCTGTAATCACTTTTTAAAATCCAGATGCATATTAGAATTATCCTGAAATATTCTGAAAAATAAAATTGCTCAGGTATTGTTTTTTTTTCTCCAGAACTCCAGATATGTTTCTAATGAGCAGTCATGTTTAAAAACAACTGGACTGTATGATGACCTTTTACTATTATCTAGTTTGTTTCACTTTTTCTATTTCATATTCAGTGCTTCCATTTCATTCATTATTATTTTCTCCAATTTCTCCATCTTTTTTTTAATGTTCTTTCTCAAGCCTTTATCAAGTATAGTAGAAAAGCTTTTGTATACATATATATAAATATGTATAATATTTTAGAAACTGATGAGGTTTTGCCTAACTAAAAAAATTTTGACATTTTGATTCCACTTGTTTGAGTTAGTATGAATAGAATGCTAGATTTCTAATTAAAGAATAGATGTGCAATAAGCAACAAAGGTTTACTGTACAGCATAGGGAACCATAGTCAATATCTTGTAATAACCTATGATGGAAAATAATTTCAAAAATAATCTATGTGTATTTGTATAACTGAATCACCTTGCTGTGCACCTGAAACATTGTAAGTCATCTATACTTCAATAATATGTATATATTAAAAAAATAAAAACAATCTTTATGCTGAGCCCTCTGCTCTGAGAAAGCCATATACCCTCTGAGGGCCTCAGAGAGAAATGAGGTATAAGATATAGTCTTTGCATAAGAATCAGAAAAACAACAAGTGAATAAGCTACCAGCTAATGGAGTGAAGCAAAATTCACATTCACATATGGATGTCTTTCAGAAAAATATACGAAAAAAGACTTTGTTATGTCTGCTCCATTACTAAGTTTACAGATGCTCCTTTCTTCTATTTTGGCAGAAGCTGGCTCGGCTCTGAAGAGACCACATCTCTCATTTAAGGCCCAAGAAAGAGCACTGTGGCCTCAGGTGTTTGGTACTGGTGAAGGGTGCTGAAGGGCCCCTTGCCAGCATAGGAACATGTGAGTTAGGCAATAAGTGTGTTCTACAGACACTGGAGGCTGCTGTTCTGTAATTCCCAAAAACAAGATGGGTGGGACAGAAACACTGAGTGTGGGTTTCTTATGACAATAATTCAAATTTAAGGAGAGCTGCTTGCTTCCTAGGCAGCCAAGGTTACAAAGCAGCTCAATACAGGTCCTACTGAGTAGAACACAGAAATGATGGACTACTAAAGTGACAAGGATTAAGGCTGGGCCTGGACTTGCTTTGGAGACCCAAATGACACAGCCAGGGCACCCATAAGACCACTAGGTGAAGGTGTTCTCTGGAACTGGTCCAAGCTGGATCTTTCCTGTTCCTGTAATAGCCTTTCTTTTCATGCTTTCACAGAGAAGAGATAGTGTTTCTTAGAGCACAAGGCAAGGCTAAGGGAATACCACCAATATCTAACTGCTAAGGCAGAGTTGGTGGCTCAGAGGGTAAAGCATCTGCCTGCAATGAGGGAGACCTGGGTTTGATCTCTGGATTGGGAAAATCCCCTGGAGAAGGAAAAGGCGAAGGAAAAGGCAACCCACTCTGGTACTCTTGCCTGGAAAACCCCATGGATGGAGAAGACTGGTAGGCTATAGTGCATGGGGTTGCAAAGAATTGAATACAACTGAGTGACTTCACTTTCACTTTTTTCCAAGCAGAGGACATGAGACTAAGAAAAGGGATTGATTCCTTGAGCTGTAGTTCTAAAAAGTTAGCCCCAAAGCTTTGGAAGGCTATAATGATATGAAGAGCAAAGGCCAAGTTTTGAAGGTTTCCTGAGGAGGTGGGGTTTCAGGAGGCACAGAGGGGCCTACTGAGTATCTGTGCTTGTGTGTATGTATTAATGAGGTGTGGGGAGGAATGCAAGAGGTGAAGGCAGTTTTTAGGTACAAGAGGAAGCTTTGAAATCTGAATATCAACTGAAAAACTAGATGACTAGTCAGAGGGAACTAATGCTGTTCTTACCAGCCAGCCCAGTTCAAAGCACTCAATGGTTCAAGTCCAATAAGGTTCCCACCACTAACAAGTAAAACCTAGCCTCACCTACACACAGTCTTGCCCTATGGCTCTCCTGAGTGGAGGTTCCTCATGCCCCAGCCTCATCCTGTACTCAAACCAAGGTTTGTCACTGCTGTTCCCAAATCATTCCCTTCCCCTCTGGCACAATACTTTCACTCCCTTAGAGACTCAAGCCACTCCTTTCCTTCACTGCTCACATCTACTGTCCTCTTAATTATGCCACAACACTTTAAATAGCTTCTGAATGTGCTCACAGTGTTCTTTTCCGAAGCCAATACTCCTTTTCCCTCTCAGAGATCTGGCTTTGCGGCTCCTCAATCCCAGCTCCACAGCAATAAAGCAGCACCCAGAATGTCTTAACTTCTGAAATCTTCAGCTAAAGAACCTAATCTCTGACTACAGTATGGCATCATCCTTTTAACTATCTCACTCCCCAAACCTCATTCTGTGATGTCACTGAGCCTTCAAAGCCTTTGGCTCCCTCATTTTCTCTTACTGCTCAAACATTTCTGACTTTCCTCTCACCTATACCCAGGGCTGATCCACAGGGACAGGGATGGGAGTAGATTTTACTCACAGCATGTCATACACATTATAGTTTTCCATCTTTGCAACTACTATTGGGAGGTAAT